AAAAGGTTAGGAGCACATAAAGAGAACTCAAGGTAGAAGGAAAAATCAAAAGAGAGAGATGAAAATACACCACAACCTTCTACTTCCTCCATTAAAAATTTAGAATTAATAGAGCGAACATGGAGGTAGTCATTGTCTTTATCATCCAATAATGACTTGAAAATTTCACCCTTACGAATAACCTCATCATTATCAAAGGGATTTTCAACCACCGTTTCTACGACTAATGATTTTTCAATCAACGATTCGTCAACCAATGATTTTTTAACCACAAATTCTATAACAGATGGTTCTTCATCATCAATAACATTCATATTATTATAGTGTCCATAGACTTTTTCATCATGAGCCTTCCAATAACTTTTATTACCAACAAATCGTTTTTGAATATGATCATATGTATATGGAAAGACTCTAAAATCATCCGAAGCACGCACAAAAAACTCACTATAAGTGCATTAAGGATTTTCATGACAAACACGATATTGACAAAGACAGTATTTAGGTGCTGCATAAAAATCATATAATTCTTGTATTGGCATAAGCATGAATATTTTCAACTCATAAAAAAAAATCAGAAATTAAAAAAAATATTTAAAAATAATCTAGACTCTAATAATAATTAGAAATAAAAATAAAAACCGTTACCTCGGCAACGGCGCCAAAATTTGACAAGCTTAAGTCGTATCACCCAATCAAAAGTAATACCTAAATACTCTAACTAATGCAGATAGGGAAGTAGGGTCGAATCCACAGGAAAGCTGGTCTTTCTATTTCTAATTAATTAAAGCAATCTAAATTATAAAGTAACCAATATATTGTAATCGAAGGATAACTAAACTACTAAGAGTAAAAGTAGGGAAGAATAAAAATAGAGGAAATCAATAAATAAAAGACCTAGGGCATAGTTTCCCCAATAAACAATATTCCAGAAAAAAAACATAATAATCAAACATCAATGCATAAATTAATCAGATCATAAAGGGCTTTCGCTACGTATTACATTAACATGATTAATCTACCAGTATTAAATCTCATCTCTCGAATCTCGACTTAACCATTTATAGATTAACCTACCTATTGAAACTAAGCCTTAATATTAATTCTCATCTCTCGAATCTCGAATAAATATTGCTAAATTCATACATAAAAGACCTGCGCATGTCTAGTTACATAGCATTAAATCAATCAATAGGAAATTAATCTAGCATTGACAATCAACAATAATAAATTACCCCTTCATATTATTTATGGATCCCCATAACCCTAGAATTAAACTACTCGCACATAATTAAAATTAAATAAAGCATAATTAAAAGCAATAAGAAATATAATTAGATAAAGAGAAAAAGCTAAACAAGTTAAGAACAAAATCTAGAAGCTAAAACTACAACTAAAACTACCTAATAAAAAACCTTTGGAAAGTTCAAAGTCAAATCTTATATATTACGAGTAACGCTAAAACTAATCCTAATAAAAGATAACTAAGCAAAAATAAATCCTAAAATTCCTACCAAAAGTCTGACAAGAAAGCTAGAATATCTTAGAAATACTAATTCTAACAAATTAATCACAGCCTAGCAAAACTAAAGCTTCTACTCCTCTGGTCAGTGAAAACCGAGTAAGCAAGCCCAATAATTCGCTGGCACACTAAGTGAATAACTTGATGCTGAAGATGTCCGCCCAACTGGGCTAGCTCGCCTGATCAGGCCCGGTCAACTGGAGCTGCGAGTTGGGCTTTGTGGCTTCTTTTGTTGCCCATTTCTTCTCTTGTTTGGTCCGTAATTTGTGTGGGAAATTTCGGACCTCTTTATATATTGAGCCCTTAATCACCGGATTAAATTCCTTTAACTCGGTTTTGGGCTTCATATGAACGTTCATAAATACGATCAAACTCCAATGACTTTGTAGTGGCTCAATAAGTTCGGAAATTGTCATAAATATGCAAATTCCTACAAAATAATACCAACTCTACAAAAACACTAGAAAACGTATATTAGTAATAAAAATAGCTCCGCATAACTCAAATAAGCACAAATATGACCGTGAGACGGGGAATAAAAAAAATATATAAAATAGACTTATCAATTACCCTATTTATAAGAAAAATAGCACGGGGTCGACGAAAATCATGTTTGGAATAAAATATATTCTGTCGCAAACGGCAGTGCAAACATTCAAGAGAAAGGAAATAAGTTGTTCCACATGGTAAATGCTTGTTGCATTGGACTACTGGCATCTTTTGCATATTATTTGGTGTTAATATGGTCCTCGGTAATTTAATATGGTCCTCATTAATTTAATTTTTTGCTGTTGTTTAAACCTCCAGTAATTTATGTTGTATTAATTTGTTCATTGAAATAGAATCATAATGCAGCAGCAGCAGCAGCATAGGCAATGTAGTGGGGTGGATTAACAGGCCAACCACCACGGGGAAATGCTTTGACTCAAAATTCGATGACGGGATCAATGATATATGCTTAACAACTTGTTGTAATTAAGCCTTAAAATACTTAAATCAAAGGTAAACCATTATACATCATAACCCTTCAATAATTCATAATTCAAGAACCCAGGGTTTCAAAAATTGGGGCTTTAACATAATGCTCATAATCAAACATCAAAAATAAAATCACAAAACTCATAATTAATAATTATATCTAGGATTAAATTGATTTTTAAAACAAAGTTTTAATTTTTTTTTCAAAAAGATGAGGTGGTAGCCGACAGCCACCACGACTGTTGCTAGCTCCGGTGGCTGCTTGCTGTCGGCGGCTGGCGCGGTTGGCCGCTGGCGGCCGGGTGGCCACCGCTGCTGGTGGTGGTCGACGGTGAAGGGAGCCAAAAAAGGGGAAGGGGAAAAAGAGAAAGAAAAAGAAAAAGAAAAATAAAGATAAATGGGAGAGAATTTTACCTTGGGTTTTCTCCACTCTGGGAAAAGGTTGATTTGCCTCAAGTGTTGAATATTTATACCCTTTCTCTAGAAACCCTTCTCCCTAAACTTTCCTCTTTTAATTTTCCTAATCCCTTCTTAATAAAACTTTCCTTAAATTAAACCCCAACTTAATTAAAATAATTAATTAAATAAACTTTCCTTTTATAAAATATTCCCAAACTTATTTAAAATAATTAATTAAAATACTTTAAATAAGTCAATTTAATTTAATAAAATACTACTCAAAATACTTATTTTAATTAAAATACGTATAAAATACGAGGTATTACAGTCTGCCCTCCTTAAAAGAAGTTTCGTCCTGAAACTTATGAAACAAAATTCAAATTTTGTCCTTACTTAGTATAATATTGCTGTACTTTTTGTCATACCTTTACCTTTTTGTGTCTCATTGAGAACACAATATCTCTAAATACTCGTTAAAATTGTGCAAAATGCACAATAATAACTGAAAATATAGGGAAAAAGCGCGAAGTTCTACCGCATTCTACCCCCTAAAAGAAAACGAGTTACGTCCCCGTAACTCAACATACCTGAAACAACTCTGGGTATTTCTTTATCATTTCTTCTTCTGCCTCCCAAGTGGCTTCCACATACTCTTGGTTAGACCATAACACTTTCACAATCTTAACATTCTTATTACGCGTACTACGCACTTTACTGTCAAGAATTTTGACAAGTCTCTCTTCAGAGGTTAAACTTTGGTCTAACTCAATGGTTTCAGGTTGTAGCACATGAGATTTATCAGGTAGGTACCTTTTTAATTGAGACACATGAAATACATCATGCACTTTGCTTAGCTCCATAGTTAAGGTCAACCTATAAGCTACTTTGCCTATCCTTTGTAATATTTCATATGGACCAATGTACTTTGGGCTCAGTTTTCCTTTCTTTCCAAACCTCATTACTCCTTTCATTGGTGATACCTTTAATAGCGCCTTGTCACGAACATCAAACTCCTCTTCTCTACGCTTCAAATCTGCATAGCTCTTTTGGCGATCTTGAGTTGCTTGAATCTTAACTTGAATCTCCCTTACTTGCTTCACTGTATCCTCGATCATCTGAGGCCCTAAAATAATTGTTTCACTTATATCGTTCCAACAAATTGGACTACGACACTTTCTCCCATATAATCCCTTAAATGGAGCCATTCCTATGCTCGCATGATAACTATTATTGTAGGAAAATTCAATCAAATCTAAGCTGTCCTACCATCCTCCGTGAAGTCTATAACACAAGCTCTCAATATGTCCTCCAAGGTTTGAAGGGTTCTCTCAGTTTTCCCATCTGTGGCAGGGTGAAACGCTATACTTAACTTAAGTGTCGTACCATATTTTTCCTGTACACTTTTCTAGAATTTTGAAAGAAACCTGGAATCTCTATCAGACACAATATCCTTTGGAACTCCATGTAACCTCACAACATTCTTGATGTAAGATTTTGAAAGTTGCTCCATCTTCCAAGTCTCCTTCATTAGTATAAACACCGCAGATTTTGTAAGTCTTTCCACCACTACCCAAATGGTATCATTTCCACTCTTTGATTTTGGAAGGCAAGTCACAAAATCCATTGAAATGCAATCCCTCTTCCATTTTGGAATTTTCGATGATTGCACAGTTCCCTGGGGCCTCTTGTGCTATATTTTCACCTTTTGACAAGTCAGACACTTTGCTACAAATTCCGCAACTTCATTCTTCATTCTAGGCCACTAGTACACCTTTTTCAAGTCCTTATATAACTTATCCCCTCCTGGGTGTACTGAATATGGTGTATTGTGTCCCTCTTTCATTAACTTTCTCTTTACTTCCTCACACTTTTGAGGCACACACCATCAACTTTTGTACCTTAAACTTCCATGTTCATGAATTTTAAAATATGTAGCTTTGCCTTCTTTATTTTCTTACGAATCCTATCCAATTTCATATCTCCTGTATGGTTTTCCTTAATGTCATCGAATATGGTTGGTTGGTTGGATAGTTAAATTCGCAAGAATACCAGCTGGTACTCCCCATTCTACAACTTCTAAATTCATTTTACTCATTTCTCTTCATAACTCATCAGCCAATATCAAGGTATTCAATCCATGACTGGTCTTACGAATTAGAGCATCTGCAACTACATTTGTTTTCCCTTCATGATACTGTATGCCTAAGTCATAATCCGTCGTATACTCTAACCATCTCCTTTTTTGAGAGTTCAAATCCTTTTGAGTGAAAAGGTACTTCAAGCTCTTATAGTCTGTGTAAATTCTTCATTTCACTCCATACAAGTAATGACGCCAGATCTTTAGTGCAAAGATAATTGCAGCAAGTTCTAAATCATGGGTTGGGTAATTTACTTCATGGGTCTTTAACTACCTTGATGCGTATGCAATCACCTTTCCATTTTGCATAGCACACGTCTTAAACCATTCTTTGATGCATCACTATACACATCATAGATACCACTATCGTCTTGAAGTGTTAGCATTGGTGCTGTAACCAGCTTCTGTTTCAAGAGTTGGAATGTTTCTTCACACTTATCATCCCACTCAAACTTCTTGTCTTTCTTCATTAGAGTAGTCATGGTTTAGTAATCTTTGAAAAATCTTTCACACAACGCTTATAATATCCTGCTAGACCTAAGAAACTCCGAACATCAGACACTGTTTTGGGCGTAGGCCAACCCTTCACAGCTTTGATTTTGGATGAAATTACTTCCACGACATCCTTAGACACAAAATGACCTAAAAATGCTACCTTTTCCGACCAAAATTCACACTTAGAGAACTTTTCATAAAGATTGTTTTCTCTCAGTGTTTGTAAAATTGCCCTAAGGTGTTCTACATGCTCCTCTCTATTCTTTGAATAAACTAATATATCATCTATGAACACTACTACAAACTTATCCATAAATTGATGAAACACCCTGTTCATCAAATCCATAAAGATTGCTGGAGCATTTGTGAATCAAATGGAATTAATGTAAACTCATAGTGTCCATATCTTGTCCTAAAAGCAGTTTTAAGAATGTCTTCATCTGCAATCCTCAACTGATGATATCCAGACCTCAAGTTAATCTTAGAAAACACGGTTGCGCCTTTCAACTGATCAAACAAATCATCAATCCTTGGAAAAGGATATTTTTTCTTTATTGTCACCTTATTCAACTCTCCTTAATCAATGCACAACCTCATGCTTCCATATTTCTTCTTAACAAACAAAACTAGTGCTCTCCAAGGAGATGCACTCGGTTTGATGTATCCCTTATCTAACAAATCCTGCAATTGCTCTTTCAACTCACTCAATTCTGCAGGTGCCATTCGATATGGTGCTTTGGATATTGGTGTTGTCCTTGGGACTAAGTCTATGGTGAAATAAATTTCTCCCTTAGGTGGCATTCCAGGGATCTCGTCCGAAAATACATCCAGAAATTCATTCACCACTTCTATATCTTCTGGCTTAGTTGCCTCATCATGATCCATGTTTCTCACACATAGAATTACACTGGATGCCCTTTTTTAATGTACTTTGCAAACTTTAACACAGATATTAACCTTGGGAATTTGGCTTCGCCATGCATCTAATAAGTCACCGCCTCACTCTCACTTGTGGTCATTTTCACTTTCTGTGGTCGACAACTTAAATCTGCATTGTACTTGCTCAACTAATCCATTCCTAGGATGACATCAAAATCCTTTAACCCAAACTCGATGAGGTCAGACTGAAACACTTTTCCTTCGATCTCTAAAGGTACATTCTTAAAGGTTTTTGTACAATTCACTACCCCACCCGTCAGAATGGTTATTGGTAAATGTACTACTTCTACCGTTTTCAAACAATCTTTAAGTTTCGAAACAATTATTTTCAAAATGAAAGAAAAAGTTGCACCAGAATAAAATAAAACTTTTAACAGGAATGGAGTGAATAGAAAAAGTTCCAATGATGACATCCTTCGTGGAATTTGCCTCATGCCTACTCAACACATTCAGTTTTCCTGCAGCTCTACTTTTCTGCTGATTGTTCCCATTGCTGCTATTATTGTTGTTCTTTGATCCATTCTGCTGCGCTCCCTTACCCCAAGTGAAGTTATTGTTGTTTCCCTAAAAGTTCCTTTGGGTCCCTCCTGAATTATTGTTTTGCTTATTCCCATTAGAACCTTTGGAGAAACACTCGTATTCTCTATGCCCTAACTTGTTGCAAGCACAACAAACAATCAGATTTCCATCACATCCCTTCCAAGATGGTTATTCTTGCACCTCTTGCAAAAATAACGCCTCTCATTTCTATTATCCCCTTGGTTATTATTCCTAGCCCCTCCATTGAAGTTACGTCCTCCACGATTGTTACCCTGGGAATTGTTGTTGTTGTTGTGGAAGTTATTGTTGTTATGGTGGTATTTCTGCTTCTTGAAGTTATTCTGGTTATCCTGTTGGTTCCTAGAGTTTTGTCCCACCTCTTTCCTATTCTCTCTCACTTCCACATCAGCCAGTTCTTTCTTTTTCTTCACCTCTAAAGCATAAAAGTGTGCAACTCTACCATATACCTCATCCAAGGTTTCAAAAACTTGTCCACATAACTTCAGCTGTAAATCAGTAGTCAAACCACTCTCAAACTTCCTAGCTTTTGCCTTCTCCATAGGGATGGACTCTCCAGCAAAACGAGAAAACTCAATAAACTTTGTATAATATTCAGTCACTGACATTTCCTTAATCCTGAGGTTTGAGAACTCCTCAGCCTTCTGCTTCTATAAGAAGCTAGGGTAAAACTTGTCTCTCACTCTTTCTTGGAACCTAGTCCAATTGAATCCAGGTAGCGCTCTAATAGTTCTCTCATTTTGCTGCCACAAAAGATCAGCCCACCTCTCAAGTAAAAAAGTAGCAGAGCCCACCGTAGAATTTCCTAGGCACCCAGCTGCCCCAAACAGTTTCTCAAACTCCCTTAACCAATTTTCTAGTATGGTAGGGGCAGGCTCTCCTTGATAGGCTGGTGGTTTACTTTGGGCCATCTTCTTAAAAAGTTCACCCTGAGAATCCCCATTGTTGGTTGAATTCTTGGCCAACTGTTGGGCTACAACTGCCAATTGTCTCACTACTTCATTCAAAACATTTCCATCATTACTAGAATTACTTCCCACTGCCATTAATCTTCTCTTGAATTAAGATCAAATGTTTATATTAGATATGGCTTTGGTTAGCTTTCAAGACATACACTCATCTATTACTTAACACCCTTGAACCATTCATAATAATATTTGAAGCTAACAAATTGGGATAGCAAAAGCTAAGAATTCCCTGAATTTGTAGCTTAGTCAAATAATTATTGATTGTTAATCAACTATGCATTTAATAAAGCATCATATAAATAATAAAAAGAAGTTCCCATATGTAGGGAATAATTTAAGCATTACCCCAAACTTGAACCCCACTGTGATCATACACTAAAGTATGATGGCATCCAAAGGGAGAGAAGATAGAGCAAAAGAGTCGCCAACAAGTTTTAGGAACTTGTAAACCGTTCACGAGGTGAAGGTTACACACCTTAACGATCCAGGAGATCGTCAACTCCAATAGGTCTGGAACCATGAATGATAGTTCGGGGATGAAGGTACAAAGCCAACCTAAAAGAGATTGAACCTGCCCTAATAATAGGCCTCTACTTTATTATGATTGTATTCATGTGCGCTTTCTGACTAACATGCAATCAATAGGTTAACCCTAAACCTGTTTATCTATGTTGGTTGAATATTAATGCACAAATAAAACTATTATTTGCGATCACTTGGATCATAATCAAATTAACCCTAAACAAGATTATTAATAATCTTATTAAGCATGATTACAAGTACAAATTCCCTTTAGACATGCATAAAAAGCGTGATCAAGAAATAACAATAAATATCAAGCAACATAATAATAATAAACAATTATAAAAATATTCATAATCATAAACTATAACCATAAATATCATAATCATGTTAAAGCATAATATTAATAGCAAGATCCTAGGCATGATACTAACCAGATTAATAACTAACCCTAGCATGTCACTAAACAATAAAGATCAAAGCTTTAACCCTAACATGATACTAACATGATATTAGAAAGAAAATAGGAAGCATCACAGGAATCACAATTGTCATATTTGATGTTATTAATTATAGTTATTACCCTAAACATGATACTAGGAATCATAAGACATCCTAACATGATACTAAATCATAATAACAATCTAGACATGATTTCTAAATCATAATATCAATAAAATCAATTAAAGCACTTACTTGGATGCCTCGTATCTCTTTCTAATAACAAAATACACGCGTTAGTAACTTCAAGGAAAATAATAAACAAACAATTAAGTTAAATAATTGAAAGAGAGGTTTGGGACCAAACCCTCAGAAATTAAAACCTTTCACGTCTAGGGCGAAGGCAACTTCGAACTTGGCTAGGTGTTTCTAGATTTTTTGAATGCGGAATTTTGTATGTAAAAGGCTAATTTAGAAAAGAGAGAGAGAGAGTAATCAAGAGATTCTTGATGAGAATTGGTGATAGAGAGAATTGATGATTGAAAACAGAGGTTTTAGGAGGCTATTTATAGAGAAAATCAGCCGGATACGATAAAAAAAAAAATCAAAGTTTCAAAAAGAATAAAAACACGACCGCAACGCCAAACACGCGCCTGTCGCCAAACGCTGGAGTGCAGCGCCAAATGCCAGGTCTGTCGCCAGACGCTGGTCCTGTCGTAAGGCGCTAGAAATAAATTTCCACGCGTTTTCTTATTTTCATATAATTTAACCGTACGAGAGGGTAAAATTGTATTTTCCTTAAAAACACTTCTTTTATTCTGATTAAAACTCTTAAAAGGCAATTAAAGTCAATTTATCAATGCTAATTAAATTAGGAATGAAAAGAACCTTCTAGAAGAATCTAGAAGACTATAATAAATTCTAATCGCATTAGGAATGATAAATCAATATTAGGCCCTCCTCTAGAACATTAGGTCGCATATAAATATCAAACCGGGCCCAGTTTAGTAATTTGGCCATAACTTCCTCATTATTCATCGGAATTGGGCTTATAATATATCATTGAAAAGCTCTTTTCAAACCCAACCCAACTACCCCATTATTGGACCCTTTCCATGCACCAAACTATACTAAATTGGTTGTTTTCTTAAAATAGGTTTTCAAAAACAAAGAGAGAAAAAAGAAATAAAACTGACCGCAACACTAGACTTTCCACATTTTCACTTTATTTGAATATGATTCGACGTGAAAGGTACGAATCACCGGGTTTGGTTTTGGGGAGACACAAATGGGTGTCTATAGAAGCCCCCACTTTGACTGAGTTTGGAGAAACGCAAGTTTCAAAAACAAAAGTCAAAGTATCGATAGGGACGGAGAATGATTCAGAATTTCCCGCGATCATAAATCATTCTTGTAACGCTGATACCTGAAAAACTAGCATTATTTAAAACAGATAAAAGAGTTAAGAAACGCGTATCTTGCACCGTCGAGCACACGTCACTGAAGGTAACCGATTTGTTGCTGCATTGTTGTTGTTGTGACAACCTTCCACCAGCTAG